GGCCTGCAAGGCAGGCGGGGAACGTTGGTTTCCTCCGTCACTGAAGCAAGCAAGCCTCATGTTAGTTTCAAGCTGCCTGGCTGCCGGCGGCCATCTTGGTTGGCAGTTAATTTGCATATCACCCTGATTAGCCAATGGGAAGGGTAGTGGTCGTACGCCAATTACCATGTTTCTCTTTTATTAGATAGAATATTGTAATAACTTCTTAAAATTATGGTTTTACAAAGCGTATCTGAATGTGGAACTCAAATTCTTGACCTAAACTATGCAGATAGAGAGCTTGTTATAAAAGGCTTAATTATGTTTGCTTTCACTGGCATTGTGGCTAACGGATGTAAGAGACAGCGTACTAATGTAGCAAGGAGAGGTGCTATTATAATATCTAGGGAAGTTGAAGTTGAAGTTGAAGTTTTGAGTTTGAAATAGTCCAGTTGACAGTCTTACAATAGCTAAAAAATAAACTCTTTTACATCCTAAGTTAGAGTTTCATTTATGACTTTTAAGTATTAAATAGTGAATTTTATTAATTTAAAATGCAAATTGCTCTAAGTGGGAGAATAGCAACTAGTCTTGTAGGTGTTTGACTTCAGAGCTAACTCTGGACAATAGGATCACCTTCTCCTCAGGTTTTGATGTTAGAATAACATCTCCAAGGTATAATCTTTCAAGATTTCTCTCCTAAATGGATACATCAGTTAAGTAAAATAAACAGGAAGATTAAGAATAAAGAAAGAATGCTAAGTATTTGCAAAAAAAAAAATAGTATGATAGATTGATAAAAAAAAATTAGGAGTTGGAGGAACATAAAATCGGTATTATTGACTATTAGCTAAATAACTAAGTGAAAGTATTGGAGCTTAGAAAAGTCTACTTTTGCACTAATCTCACTTTGCTTTCTTTACACTTTTTCTTATTTTTATAGGGCTTCATTGATTCTCAATTGAGAGTTAAGTGCTTTTCTAACCACAAATGCCCTGATTTAGCCTTCCTCACAACTCTCCCCTTATCAAGGCTGAATAAAGTCTGCCATTATTATTTACCAATGGAAATTTGTCAGATAGCCTGTTTTGGTGAGTGAAGAAAAAGGTTGAGGATCATTATTTGTGGAAAAATCTGATTTGTTGGTTAAAATGTTGGCTCCACTCTTTGAACTGCACCTTGCCTCAAATAATCATAAAATAGGATTATAAAATTCGGGTTGTGAGGGTAGTATTGTCCAGCAATATCTGTTCTCCTCTACTTCTGAGCACAGGAGAAGATAGAATTTCCCCACATCAGCATGGTTATGTGATTAGCGTAGCTATGGCCCTTAGAGGAATAAGGCGTGTCAGTGCTTCAATGCCTAGTGCCCTTCATTCTGTCACAGTCATTATGGAAGCACATGTAGCAGAGAAGTAGTCTGGATTGCTGAGCAGAAATGCATAGATGACATGCTTTGGTAGTACACTTGAGCCCGCAGTGAAGCGTGAGAAATGAACATATTTTTTTTCAAGTTACAGAAAGTTTGTGGTTATTGTAGTGAATCTAACTGTCCTTATTTTTTTTAAAATATATTTTATTGACTTTCCACAGAGAAGAAGGGAGAGGGACAGAGAGTTAGAAACATCGATGAGAGAGAAACATCGATCAGCTGCCTCCTGCACATCCCCCACTGCTTTTAGTGGTTTCAATGGAGAAGGGGTAAGAAAATAAAGAAAAACTAAAATTAACTGAGGCTATTGTTATAGCACAATATAATGTAGTACTTAGAAAGAATCTAGACACTAAATTCAGGCTGCCTTGGTTAACATCTTAGATCTGCTATTCAATAGTTTTATGAGCTTAGGCAAATAGCCTAAAGTCTCTGCATCTCTATTTTTACCCCTATTACATGAGAATAAAAACCAGCAAGGTTGTTATAAACATTAAATAAATTAAAGCATTTAGCATTGTACCTGGCTCATAACATGGATACAAATAAAGCTTAGCTCTTTTAACTGTATGCTAGACGCTACTTCTGTACATTATTAGCACACTTAATCACTTTAAATATCCTATACAGTTGTTATTTCTTCTCAGTCAATAAGGACAGTTAGCCCTGACTGGTTTGGCTCAGCGGATAGAGTGTCGGCCTGTGGACTGAAGGGTCCCAGGTTCGATTCCAGTCAAGGGCATGTACCTTGGTTGCGGGCACATCCCCAGTAGGGAGTATGCAGGAGGCAGCTGATCGATGTTTCTCTCTCATCAATGTCTAACTCTCTATCCTTCTCCCTTCCTCTTTGTAAAAAATCAATAAAGTATATTTAAAAAAATGCTCTGTTGGTTTTTTGGCTTAAGGAAAACGTGTAATGACCACATTATTCATTGCTTACAGTATACTTTAACATTATTGTTATGGGAACATGGTGATAAATAACCTAATTAACTCATCTACTTATGAATATTTGAAATTTTTCCTTTCTTCCAATCTGCTAATAAAATAAAATATTAGAACTTGTTAAATTTTATAATTATGGAAGTTAATGAGTTTATTTTTTAATGCATTCATGTATAATATTCTTTCCTGTTTTTCTTTAATGGCTTTTCAACTTGATTCTAGTGCAGGTGGACAGGCTTATATATGTTCAGTGCAGAGATGAGTTTCTTAGGAATTATATTGCATACAGCTTTCTTAGTTTGAATATGAACAGCTCATTTTTTGAACCTCATTGTAAGGACAATGAGTTGCGGGCTCTCTCACTTTCCTGTACTGCCATTGAGTGTTAGGAGGTCAGCCACAAAAGACTGGGTACATTTACGGAATCTGTACTGGATTAGGGAGGATACTTGTATGTGATTATTCTCTAGCTGATGACTGAGCTATTCCTTTCCTTAAAGATGATGCCTTGTCTCTCAATAATGATTATGACAACAATAGTAACAACCGTGGTAATGATAACAGCAGTTACTGATTATTGGGCACTTGCTCTGGGTTAGGACTTATACTAACATTATATATGCATATTTCTTTCAATTCTCCCAACACCTTATCAGATAAAAATGTATTTTTATAGCTGTGTTAACTAAAACACATGTTGAATAGTGATCGATTTAATTTTTTAACCTAGTTGAGTCACATCATATAGTTTAATTTCTCTATTTAGTTTAACTACACTTTTAACTTCTATCTGGTGTCGTATGACTGTTTAGATGTCAGGACCAGAGGGTCCAGAAGAATGAGAACAATGTAAGAATTCTAAAAATTTTTGATCAGAGATGTAACTTCCCTTCCCTCATTTGTTGTTTATGTTTCTATGTGTCTTCCACCCTCCTATCATTTTAGAGGAATATATCTTCATTGTTTTCCCAGAGTCAACTTGCACATGTCTTCTTGATAAATGCCTCTTTCGTAAAAAGCAAATCACCTTGAATCTTATTTCCCTTTAAGCTAGTTTGGCAAAGAATGCTCAATACCCATCTCCATGTTGTCACTATACATCCACTGTAAATGCTCACCTTCCACAATGCTTTGGTCTTACCAGTAACTTAACAAATCATCATGAGGTCATAGAAGGGCATTGATCAGGTTTCAGTCACCTCTGTTATCTCTATAGTGGAATGCACATAACTGTGTATCAATTGAATTGATTTTAAAACTTTAATATATGCAGATTAACCTTCTTTTTTATTTTTTTATTTTATTTTTTTGTGTGTTTTTTTAAAAATATATTTTATTGATTTTTTACAGAGAGGAAGGAAGAGAGATAGAGAGCTAGAAAAACCTCTACTGGGGATTAAACCCACAACCCAGGCATGTGTCCTGACCTGGAATCAAAACCTGACCTCCTGGTTTATAGGCCTATGTTCAGATTAACCTTCTTAATCCATTTCCTTAATCTTGATTTGTACATATATTGCATCTTATTACTTGAATTATCCATCCTTCCAGAACCCAAATGACCCATGAATAAAAGCATCCAAGGGTTGGAAATTCTCTTTATCTTCATGGCTCTACGTTTTATGACAGGCAGTTGGATCCCTTTGCTCCTCTTTAGCTAATTTATATTTAAGTTGTAGTAGAGCATATTTTACATTGGCATAGGTTCTTAGTCAGCAAGCCAAAGACACTTATATTGCAAGGAGGGAAATACTTTACTTCGGTGGTACAGACCAAGTATCCATATGAGTATAGATTGGAAAAATTGTCTCTTTGGCACATATCAGACTCTAAGAATTCCAGATTTAAGAGCTGGATCAATATTATGTTACTAGATTGTCATTGTGTAGTATATATGTTAACCAAATATATCAAATTTTATTGATTAAAGTGATAAAAGAAAGACAAATATCATATGATTTCACTTATATGTTGGATCTAAAAATGAGTCAAACCAAACCAAAACAAAAAAACACACACACCAGTTTACAGATACAGAGAACTGATTGGTGATTGCCAGCAGGGAGGAGGGATCTGGGCTGGGTGAATTGGCTGAAGGGATCAAAAGGTTCAAACTTCTAATTATAAAATAAATAAGTCATGGGAATGTAATATATAACGATGTTCATATTTGAAAGTTGCTAAGAGAGTGAATCTTAAAAGTCCTCATCACAGGAAAGGAAATTGTAAGGAGGTATGATGATGGATAGTAACTAGACTTATTGTGGTGATGATTTAGCAATTATACAAATATTAAATCATTATATTTCACACCTAGAACTAATATAATATTATATGTAAATTGTTCTTCAATGAAAAAAGAAAAAAATGGGTTAGCAGTCAGATAATAAAAATATTATTTCTTTTAGGACACATTTAGGTACTGCCACAAATGACAACACTCTTAATATTTACGTTACTTAGAATAAAAGCTGATTTTATTCTGATAAAAGCTTGAATTTAAAAAATGTATATATAAAGCTGAATTTATTGTCAGTTTAAAATGTTGGGTCCTAATTGTTCAAGGTCTTGTACGTATGTCTACTATAAACATCTCATTATTTAAATAGTTCAAAAGCTGTTTGAAATATGACTGTAATTATAGGCTTAGTGGATATAATATGATAAAAATTGTATCTTAATTTAATGAAGTTATAAAAGGATTAATGTTCATGTTAAGATAAAATTTTATATTAATACATTATTTAATATTTAATATAAAATTTATAATTAATAAAATACCTTTAATCAGGAAGATTTGCTTTTTCTTACTAAGTATCTAGTTAGTTGAAAAACTGTATTTTATGGAAATAATAATACTGTTGCATTAAAATCTCTTAAATCCTCAAGGCTGATCTTATTCTATATGTATATGTTTGTGTATGTGCATATGTGTGTGTTTGTGAGTGTGTGTTAAGGTGTTATAGGAGACAAAATATATTATTATAACAATAACTACAATAATATCCCTTACCATATTTTTTAACTTTTTAAAAAAATATTTTATTGATTTTTTTTTACAGAGAGGAAGGGAGAGGGATAGAGAGTTAGGAACATCGATGAGAGAGAAACATTGATCAGTTGCCTCCTGCACATCCCCCACTGGGGACGTGCCCGCAACCCAGGTACATGCCCTTGACCGGAATCGAACCTGGGACCCTTCAGTCCACAAGCTGACGCTCTATCCACTGAGCCAAACCGGTTTCGGCAGTTTTTAACTTTTCAAGAACATACTTCCTTTAAAAATTTTTATTTTTTTTATTTTTAATCCTTCCCTGAGGATATGTTTTTATTGATTTATAGAGAAAGGAAGGGAGAGGGGCAGAGAGTGAGAGAGAAACATTAATGTGAGAGAGAAACATCAATCAGTTGCCTCCAGTAAGCACCCTGACCAGGAATCAAAAACCCTTGACCTTTTGGTGTATGGATATACTCTAACCAACTGATCAACACTGGCAAGGGCAAGGACATAGTTTCTTAAAGAAGAATTTAGGGAGGGTTAAGTAACTTGCTTGTGTTCACTTGGCATGCAGGTGGCAGATCTGGCTTGAAAAACCAGACCTGTTAGACTTCGGAGTGCATAATCTTCCAATTGTGTCACATTTCCTCTCTAATCCTGTTTTGTCCTCATAATACTGGTATTACAGATTTAAAGTCAAGTCACGTGCATACATACATACATGCATATCTATTTGTTGGCCTGTTATATTTATAAAAGTAAAGTTTTTTTGGTTCTAAAATGTATTCATTCATTAACTTATTTGTTCCCTCATTTATTCTTTCCTTCTTTCTCTTGTTCATTCAGCAAATGTTTATTAAATGTCTTCTGTGAGCCAGGCACTAATCCAGGCATTGAATGAAAGTCTAGACAGTGTATAACTTTGAAGAACAATGTCATACATCAAAGGAAAAATGTGTTTCTGCTTGTAATAACATAGTTTTCATTTACCTGCTTAATAAAAGACGAGTAATCATGAGTGGTATGGACCATTTAGTTGGTGAATAGCAGCCGTTCTCTAACTAATGAATCCTTTAACAGATAAAAGACTCCACCAATTTAATTTTATCCCTTTGTGTAGCCTCTCATTTTTCTCTTAGATGAGGAAAAGACAAGTAAGAAACAAAAAGAGAATAAAAGAAACAAAAAGAGGATAAAAATAGATAATGAACTTTTGGATATTTGAGCAGGCTTCACTGTATTCAAGTTTCAAATTATTGAATGTTAATGGAAAATTATTTATTTACGAATATGTAGATAGTAGGGGAGTTGGCAAAGAGAACAAAGATGTAGTTTGCGACATTGTTCTCAGATTATTTTGAGGATAAAGCTAGGAAAAATGGCATAATACATTTTTTGTCTACTTTCCTTAACATTTTTAATTTATGCTCAATAATATCTATTTAGTTATGTTAGGTTTATCTTTGTAGGTATGTCTATGTTATGTTTGTACCTGTGTGTCAGGCTGTTTTGGTGAGAGGTGAAGGTTGGAATTCTGATGAAAGATATAGTGTATTTTAATTAAAAGAGCAGAGATTTTATAAAGATAAGGTTTGAGACCTAGGTTTGACTAATTACTTTTAATTGATATTTCTTTATTCAAAAATAATTCTGATTGAAATTTGGGTTTATGTTTTGTTTCACAAAGAAGTATTATTTTACATTTTATCTAAACTTAGAAAAGCCAAAATAGATGGAAAAATCAGCTGTAGTTCAATATCAAAATATATCCTCAGTATATATCTCGGTATATTTCCCTTCAATCTTTCATTTCTTCCCTTTAAAGTTTTTATTTTGGAATAATTACAGACTCACAAGAAGTTGCAAAAGTAGTACAGAGAGGTCTTTTGTACTCATCACTCAGCTTCCCCCAAGGGTAACATCTTATATAACCATAGCACCTTATCAAAACCAAACTTGATATTGGCAATACAATTCACTAGACTACAATGCTTGTTCAGATTTACCATTTTTTGTAGGCACTCATATTTTTGCCTGTGTACATGTTTGTCTTTCTAAAAAATCTATAATTTATGCATGTTTGTCATTCTGGGCTCTATTTTTCTTCTTAAAGAATAATCCTATATAATAAAGAGGTAATATGCAAATTAACCCTCACACCCTCACAATATGGCTGCCTATGACCAGGCCAGCAGGGGGTTTAGTGAGGGACGACCAAACAACTGAACAGCAGGCTGTTTGGGGCAACCAGGCCGGCAGCAGGGTTAGAGAGGGATGACCAAACAACTGAACAGCAGGTTGCATGGGGAGATCAGGCCAGCACGGGGGGCAGTTAGGTGTGATCAGGCAGGCATCCAGGTGAGCGATTAGGAGCCAGTGTTCCAGGATTGTGAGAGGGATGTCCGACTGCCGGTTTAGGCCCGTTCCCTGAGATCAGGCCTAAACCGGCAGTCCGACATCCCCTAAGAGGTCCCGGCATAGAGAGGGTGCAGGCTGGGCTGAGGCTCCCCCCCCCCCCCCGCGCCCTCATGCGCAAATTTCGTATTCTGGGCCTCTAGTATAATTATATTACCCATACTACTTGATATCTCATTTTTTTCAGTTATAGTAAGTTGTGATTTTTCCATTCCTCTATTATAGTGGTTGGCAAACTCATTAGTCAACAGAGCCAAATATCAACAGTACTTCTTCAAAGTAGACTCATCCAGGCTGAAAACCGACTTCTGCACATGGGCCACAAAGTTTCAATCGCACTGTACGTGCACCCGCACGTGGTATTTTGTGGAAGCGCCACACTCAAGGGGCCAAAGAGCCGCATGTGGCTCGCGAGCTGCAGTTTGCTGACCACAGCTCTATTCTATTTCATGATTTTCAGTGTATGCAGAATATTTTAATTTTAACATATTGTTTGGTAAATGTAAAATTACTTCACAATCCCATTATGTTGATATTTAAGTGGTTTCTCTGTTTGTGCTATTATGAACAGGCAGATACACTTGCATCTTTGGACAGAATTCCAAAGATTTCTCTCTCTCTGTCTGTTTGCCTCTTCCTATTTCTTTCTTTTCTTCCTTCCTACTGAAGAATTGTTAGATTTGAGTCAAAGATAATTTATATACTTTCTGATGTACATTGTCAAATTTTTTCTCAGAACAGATTAATAAATATTGTGAATAAGGTCCCACAGCCTTTTTCCTTAGGAAATATGTAGAGAATAAATAAAGGTAATAATTTAGTGGACACTGAATACTGGGCTCTGTAAAATCTCAACAGTGTGTCATATTTGCTTCAGACCCTTTTATTTAAGCAATAAAACAAAATTGATGCTCCCTTTGTATTTTCCTCAAATACACAGTCTTTATAGAAACAATCTTTGAAGATTTTTAAAGGCTCAATGGGAAAAACAATTTCTTCTTCGATATTCTTAAATGATTGACTGTGTTCCTCCTCTTTAATAAGAGCTTGTATTAAACACCTGTCTGTGGACGTGAGCTGTGTTGTGCAGAATGAGTTAATGAATATGGTGTTGGCCTTCTGTGACCCTCCGTGGCAGAGGAGTTTCATCAGAACAGAAGTGTGCCATAAGGCATGAGTTACAGCCTTAAAGAGAAATAAATGGACAGCTAAGGCAAAGATGTAATATGGAAACAGAAAAATATGCAGTCCTAAAGTCCTAAGGTTTAGAGCACGTTAGTTTCAATCTTGACATATTTCTCCCCTCTCTTCTTTCCTTTTCTCCTTGACCAAAGTGAGATAACGCCATGTCAGAAAATTGGCTTCCTTCTCCCTGCATGGTGCTGGGCTGCAATCTCTCCTCCTCTCTCCCCCTAGCCCTTTCATTTTTGTTCTTTCTCCATCACTTCATTATCATCATCATCAGTAGTAAGTGCTGACAGACATGCTTCTTCTCTCCAACAAATACCAGCTGACAATGGAGAATGTGCCTCCTCTTCTGCTCCCTCCTGGTTCTCTAGATAGCGCTGGGTTTGCAGGGTTACCTTCTTGGGCCTCTGTGGGCATCCTGGTCGGAAGATGTGGTTTTCTGAGAATCTGCCCTGATTTGGAATTTGTTTCCTTATCATGACTTATTTTTGAATTTGTTCCTGAAGCCTACTGCCCCTAAGAGTGTGCTAAGTGCTCTCTTGAAAAGGGCTGTCTAATGAAGTTTACTTTCCTTGAAAATGTACTTTTACGTGTATATGCATTTAGGATTATATTTAAATTTTAATAAATTTATGCTTGAAATTTAAAGGTGTTTTGATCTTTTACATTGACCTTTAATAGTAATTCAATTAATTATAATTTTATCTTTTTCTTTTCTTATATGAAACCAAGTCTTCGTTCCTTTTCCTTCAAGTCTCTGTTTCCTGCATTCTCTCTAGAATAAAAATAAAACAAGATAAAAGCGTGTCCTCACCTTCCGCTTTGAATTTAGCTGTCACGCATGACTCACAGCCGGAGGATCTTTAAGATGATTCATTTATGCCTTTTCTCTTCATTGACAGTGGATCCAGTTCAGATAACAGGTGTCGATTTCTTGAAAGCCTTTCTTTCCATTCTTTTTCCTGTTGGCTGCATGTCTCACCATTGGCAGTTGACGCAGTTTTAATCCGAGATGATCTGGCCCCGGTGCAGATGTCTGGGCTGTCCTTTCATGTCGAGATGGGGCAATCTGTGGCCAGAGCTGGTGGGATGGGGCCGGGTTCTGAGTGTGTATACTCATGGATGCAGGATCAGTAGGGCTACAGAAGTCTCTCTGTGTTAGGTTTCTCTGTTAAAATAATTGTCCTATAGAGATATGTGGGTTCCAAGTACTTTTTCAAAAACAATATCCCTAGTGGTTAAATTACCATAAGGTTATTATGCTGCCCAAGTAAGCAATTACCCAATTTGGAGGGTTTCCTGGAACAGTCAGTTGATACTGCTGAAGGCCAAGCATCTCATTTAGATGGATGTCACTGTGTGACTAAAGCAATATGATGCCCTCTTAAAAATGCTTAAAGCCTTCTCTGTTTGTGGGCAATAGTAGTCTTTTGAGCTAGTCATTGTTTCTGCTGAGCGTTTACCTCATGAGACTCTTTTTCTTATTCGTGTTAATGTGTCAGAGGAGTACTACTTCCATTCACAGTCATTCACACCTGAAGACATTTATTTAAAAACAATTGTTGAGTATTTGCTGTGTGCCATTAATGAGGGAGCTCATGGTCTCTGGCCACAGGATGTAGTGTCTAGTGAAAGTACAAGAATTACTCAAATAAGCCCACAGTCCTATACGATCAGAGATTCATTACATTTCCCTGGGAGTGAGAAAGCACTAGGTTCCAGTCTGCCGTGTGTGAGCTGTATAAATTCTGGGAAGTTACCTGACTACGCTGAGCTTCATTTCTTATATGTAAAATGGGAGTAGCATTGTTTTCCTCAAGGGGTAGTGTGTACATTGAATGATTTGATGTATGTCAATTACCAAACTCAGAATCTGGCACATTATTGGTGATTAAAAAATGTGAGCTAGCTCTCCTACTTCAAAACTTTTTTTTTTTCTTATTCGAAATTTACCTTAAAGAGAACATCTATTTGGCACTCAGAGATGAAAAAAAGCCTCCATTTTCTTTGATAGCATCCTTCCTCCTACTTCTAGTTCCTTTTGATTTTTTTCTACAATAGGCCTCCCTCCCCACCATTTCTTTACTTACCATGTTGTCCTAGGCTTCTCAATAGCTCCTAACTGATTCCATTTCCTCATCTGCCTCTGAGATGCCTCTCAAGGCTGACCTGAAATCCATGTCTGAGCAAGACATTCCCCTGCTCAAAATCCTTTCGTGGCCTGCCCTTCACAAGGCATTCAAGGCTCTGAAGACAAGGCTTGCACTGGTCTTTCGTGCCTTAGCTCATGTTATGCTCCAAACACATCTCTTATTTCAGCAGCGCTCATGAACCTGGACTTCCAAAACAGAATCTGAACTTTGCCTCACTTTTGTACTTGTCTCAATTGTCATTGCCATTGAAAACAAACAAACAATATTCTCATTAATTTACCACCCTCTCCCCTTCGCTACCTACACTTTTCATCCTTATTTTAAATAAAACAGTTGAAAGATTTGTACAAGCTAAAGAGAAATCAGAGCATCTTCCTTCTCTTTCTTCCTTTTCTTTTTAAATATATTTTATTGATTTTCCACAGAGAGGAAGGGAGAGAGACAGAGAGTTAGAAACATCGATGAGAGAGAAACATTGATCAGCTGCCTCCTGCACATCCCCAACTGGGGATGTGCCCGCAACCCAGGTACATGCCCCTTGACCGGAATCGAACCTGGGACCCTTCAGTCCGCAGGCTGATGCTCTATCCACTGAGCCAAACCAATTTCGGCTCTTTCTTCCTTTTTAAAAATATTATTTTTATTGATTTTACAGACAGAGAGAAAGGGAGAAAGAGAAGATCGATGTGAGAGAGAAACATCTACGGGCACGCCCTTTTTTGGGGATCAGGCCCACAACCCTGGGCAGAGTTGGAGTGGTGACCTTTTGTTGCATGGGGCTGCCCCCAACAAACCGAGTCACACTGGCGAGGGCTCCTCCTTCTCTTCCTGTCCTAACTTCTTGGCCATGTTGTCTGTACTCCAGGTCCTCCTCTCCCTCATACGTCTGCATCACTGCAAGGTGGGCCCAGTCCTCATTGCGCCATCCAAATTGCTCTCCCAAAGATCATCGGTACCTACTTGTTGCTTAACTTAATGGATTGATTTGAGTCCTTACCTTAATTTATTTCTCTTTAGTATTTGACTCTGTAGACCACCTTTGTGTCTTTGAAGGTCCTTAAACTGTACTCAACTTGTCCTGTATGGTAGCCGGTAGCCTCTTTTTCTTTTTCTTTTTTTTTGTACAAAACCACGTACTATTCCCCCCTCACAAAATCGAGTGGCTGTATTACAGGAACAAAACCAGATCAAACACACGAAAAGAAAAAGTCACTACTTATACTGAAACCTAACAGTGCTGAGTTCCGGTTCTGTGTAGAATTGTCACCAGTGCAGTAAAAATATTCCCACCCAGGTCTTTTAAACTTGAAAGTGATCACATTAAAAACCTGAGGTTACAAGGGACCACAGTGTGAATCAGAATTTCATTTTCCTTCAAGACCCCAGTGGAAAAGGGAAGTATTTGGAATGAGTTTCCTTTGGGAAAAACTGTGGGAAATAGGGAACCCGGGCCATTGTCAGAAGGCACTGGGGACTCAACGCCAGAAGCAACAGGCTCCCTCCCATCTGAGCCTGAGCCACTGCGAGGACCACGGCCACCTGGTCAGAGGCTATTGAAATTTAAGTTTAATTTAGTGAGAATTAAATAAAATTTAAAATTCAGTTCTGCAGTCACATTAGTCAAATGTGGCTATTGAACCCTTGAAAGGTGGCCAGTGTGGTTGAGGAGCTAAATTTCAAATTGTATTTACTTTCAATTAATTTAAATTTACATTTAGCCAGCCATCTGTAGCTTGTGGCTACCCTATTAAGTGTGGAAATAGAGAACATTTCCATGAGCACAGAAATTTCTATTGGGCAGGCCTTATTTGAGAGTTTTTAAGAGGCCAAATAGTAAATAATTTTGGCTTTGTGGGCTAGATAGGTTCCATTGCAGGCTCTCAGTTCTACTGTTGTTGAGCAAAAGCAGCCACAGAGAATATGTAAACATATGAGCGTGGCTGTGTTTCCATAGAACTTTTCCTTTTTAAAAATATATATTTTATTGATTTTTTACAGAGTGGAAGGGAGAGGTAGAGGGATAGAGAGTTAGAAACATCAATGAGAGAGAAACATCAATCAACTGCCTCCTGCACACCCGCTACTGGGCATGTGCCTGCAACCACGGTACATGCCCTTTACCGGAATCAAACCTGGGACCCTTTAGTCTGCAGGCCAAACCGGTTAGGGCCCATAGAACTTTTCTTACGTACATAGGTGGTGGGCCAGATTTGTCACGTGTCTGTAGTTTGCTGACCCCCTCATAGAGCCCTGGTTTCTTCATATGTCCCTTTTAAAATTTCTTTCTACTTTTCTCTAAAATTTTCCTTTTTCAGTCCCCCTATTTCTCAGATCCCTCCCTCCTTTTCACCTTTATCACAACTTTATTGTGAAAAAAATCTCTAAACAGTCACCCTCTCTTTGTGCCGTGCTCCTGTCCATTGTGTGCATTGCCACACAACTGTGCTTTTATAACTTATCTAAGCCAGTTTTGTCATAGGTAAATGTGTCTAAAGTAGTAAATACCTCAAAGGATTATTATATAGATTATACCTACCATGAGCACAGTTTTACACACAATGAAATGTGTATACACAATGAAATGCGTATAAAATTGTGCTTATGTAGGTATAAGGTACTCTCACATTATGAAAACAGAATAGTGATTGAGACTTGGAGGCTGACTGCTTGACATCCAATCCCAGCCTGTGACACATCAGTGTGCACCTCGGGTAGGCCACTAACCTCTTTGTACCTCAGTTTCTTCATTGGTAAAATGAGGATCCTATTGGCAGACACACAGATTTGTTATGAGAATTAAATGGATTAATCTGTGTTAAATGCTCATAACATTGTCTTGGTGCAAAGTGCTGTGTTGTTGTTTCTAATTTTATTTTCCTGGTTTTAAAGATGAGGGAGAAAGGCCTGGACATGCTAATTTGCCTTCCATCATGCAGCTAGTAAATGACATGTCTGAAATGTGAATTCTGGTCCTTGGACCTTAAAGCTCATGCCTTTACACTCTACTACATCCCTTTCAACATCTATTGGCTCCTTACCATATTCCAGTAGTTGGAAATAATATATTTTTTTCTCTGTGCTTTCATTATACTTAGTTTACATCTGTATAAGGAAAGTTGCCACATTTTCTGTTGTATTATAGTTATTACAAATTAGTCTACCTCTTGAGAGTGAAGAACATGCTCCCAGTTAAATTTTTCTTCACTCCTTCACAGTCTTAAGTCTAATCAACAACAAATTATTATTAAATTTATTGAGTAGGAAAACTTTTAAAGAGAAAATTATTATTGATAGAAAATTTATCAATAGATAGGTGGTTGAAGTCTTCCGATAAAATAATGAATTGTTTCTTAGGGAGGTTATACATTTATCACTAGTATGTGGATTTAATATTTTATTCTATAGATAGCAAAATGCACTCATCTTTTTCCTTGATTTATTAAATTTTGAAAAAGAACGTGACTTTTTTTAAATGTAATTGTGATTAAACGAAGACCCAAATAGTAGGTCATCAAGGAAAGAAATTGTAATATGATCCAAAGAAGGAAGATCATATCAGAAGGTTAATTTTGAGTTGGACTTTCCAGTTATTTAACAGTGAATATCTGCAGACTACAGAAGTCAGTAGCTGAGCATATAGAGAGGGTTGTGACGTTAGGATTACTAAAGGTGGTTGTGCTGGAGGAAGCTGTAACAGTTACTTCATGCAGATTGCAATATGACCCTTTGTGAGTTACATGGGTCACACTGTTTGAAGTACATTACATTTTATTCTTAAAGTGGGTGGCAGCGGTTGAGAGCGGCATTTTAGATTTTATTAATTTAACTTTCCATCGCTGGGTAATCAAATTCACAGAGTAAATGCTATCAATTTTCCCCTCTAAAAGAAGCAATGCTTTTTTGATTGTCAGGTTTTATTTCCTTTTATAATGTTTAAAAATTGATTTAGTAAATGCATGCTTAAATAACAAAATTTTAGCTCTCAACAAAGGGTAAATTGGTGGTAATCTCTGGGAATTAATGGGGCCCAGAGATCAAGACTGTGGAACTTGTTAGGCTCCCAGCCTCTTAAAAATCCTTCAGACAGCTACCACGTTCATTGACCTAGCCCGTTGTGTAGGCCAAATACACACTCCAGTGGGTCATTTGATGAGCAAGGCCAAAGTGAAACACAGAATGGGCTAAAGTCTGGTAGTAGGCGTTCTGAAATCTGATTCAGGTTAGTCTGTGGTAAGGAAGAAAATAAATCAAATTCAAACAAGATTCCCTTCCCTCCAAAGAGCTGAGTCTAAGTTTTTATGTCAGATATAAGCTAGTAGGGGTTAGTAAAGAAAAAGCAGGGGAAAATAGAAAATTATGTGCAAGAATAAATTCATAAGGGGTTTCAAGAACTTCCTTCGTTTGGAGCTCCTTCTCAAGACCCTCAGCAAGGCCTTCGTCAGTTCAGACACTGATGACAGCACAGCCTGACTCCTTTGCAAGCACATCTAACGTTACTGTAGTGACTATATGATTATACTTGTTGAGATTCCTTGTATTTTGGTTGCCCTGGAATGTATCCCGTTGCTTCTCAAATTATGAATTATGACAATTCTAAAGTGTATTTCAATTTGCTAAAATTGATGAATCTTAAGACTTTTGTGTCAGTCGGGCTAGACTAGATTTTGCTGCAGGAGTAAACAACTCTCAAATCTCCCTGGATTCAAAAGCTCAGGTATGTGTCACTCATACGAGTTTATCTTAGGTTGCCTGGGAGATTTGCTCCATGCCATCCATCCTCACTCAAGGATACCAGCTGAGTGTTACCACTTTGACTGACACTCGTTCTTGTGACCGAAAGAAAGAAGGACCTGTGGTAAACATACATTGGACCTCAAAAGCTTCCTTGATTACTTCTATGGCCATAGAAGACTTCATGGCCATACCTCATTTTAAGTGGGTGAGAAAGGGCAGTCTTGTAAGTGGCTAGAATGAGGGCAACCAAAATCATAGTGGACAGTAGGAACGACAATGGCAGATTTATAGCAAATCTATGTGATTTGAAGGTTCTATGTAGCCATTTATTATGACTGCTCAGCTGCCTGAGGGTGATTTTGATGACAAAAGTAAATAAAAAAAAGGAGCAAAAATTTTTATGACCCAATTTTTAGTTTCTTAAACCCAAGGTTAGATGTTGTCATAAGAAATGGTCCTTTTTACTAGATGAAGTTGAAAAGAGATGCTTTTATTTCATTAAAACATTTTTTTATTAATGCTCATTTTACTGATTATAAAGTTGATGATTCAGTAAGACCAAAGTCAAGCAATCTTGACTTTTAATTTATATTTTTATTGAAATATATTTAAATAACCCATTCAATATATAAATACATGTTCATAAAAATTAACACAAAAGTATATATATATATATATATATAGAGAGAGAGACACACACATATATATATATACACACACACATACATATATATATATATTATGTATAAAAAGTTTTGTTTACATCAAGTGGAATTGGCAATCCATGCTTATACTTTTAAAATCTAAGCAGGGCAGAAATCCAGACTATAAAGATATTTATTCTATGTTGAGTCCAATAGCTTCTTTCAAAAACTACTCGTTAAAAGCCTCAAATAGTCAACAAAACAAGAAAACTCATCCATACTACAGTCGCTCAAAACTGGACATTTCTTAATCAACAGGGTTTTGGCAGGGCAGGCAGTAAGTGGCAACCATGCTGGCGGGAGGGGCAATTAGAGGCCATCAGGTTGGCAGGCAGAGGCAGTTAGGGGTGGTCAGGCTGGAGGGGGCCAGTTAGTTGTGGTCAGGAAGCCAGGCAGGTGAGCAGTTAGGAGCCAGCTGTCCTGGATTGTGAGAGGGATGTCTAACTGCAATCGGACAAAATTTGAATATAAAAAAAGAACATTATAAAGGTTCTTGAAAAAAGAATCTTTGGAAAGGAATTTATGCAAGGCCAAACTCATTAAGATTGAAATAGATTTATTTAAATATCAAAAGTACACTGATACAAAATTAGAATTGGTGTTCTCTCTGTTGAAATGTTAAAGTTTTGTTGGACTTTTAGTCTGCTTTTGAAAACAAATGGAACGTTTTGTTATCTTTTAAGTTGACTACCTAAAAAACAAAGGTGTGTTTTATCAGAATAATTTCTGTACTTCATGGTATCTCTAGCATCAGTCTTTGATTATTTGAGTAAACATAGTCTCCTCAATATTAAAGGACCTAAGTTTTGCTAACAATTGTGTAATCTCCTGTATTTGCCTTTGAAATCTTTTGTCACTTTGGTTGAGTAGATGATTAGATACGGGTTCATAATGATCTGTGACCCTACTTAGCCAAGTGTCATACCTTTTCGTATTTTTGACAAACTTCCCAAATCAAATATTAGATCAAGTCCTCTTGACTTTTAGCTAACTTTGGGATTTTTAAGAAGCTCCCTAGAACAGTGGTTGGCAAACTGCAGCTCGCAAGCCACATGCGGCTCTTTGGCCCCTTGAGTGTGGCTCTTCCACAAAATACCATGTGCGGGCGCGCATATACAGTGTGATTGAAACTTCGTGGCCCATGCACAGAAGACAGTATTTTGTGGCAGAGCCACACCCAAGGGGCCAAAGAGCTGCATGTGGCTCGCAAGCCGCAGTTTGCTGACCACTGCCCTAGAACATTCCAAAAGATTTGTTCCTTCTTCTTATAGAAGAAAAATAATAAACCAGTTAGGCTTACTTGATATGTTAGATTACATGGCATTGTCAAATAAATGATGACTCACCTTCTTAGGTTATATTGCTTGGCTGAGTATTATTAATATATTAATGTATTCCCAACATTATATAACATTTCTGTCAGGGAGGGGAAAAATTTCTCCTTGCCCCTCTTGAGTTAATATGGCTGGATTAATAAAATTTACCTAAAACAGATTAAAAGGAGAAAAGTCAATTTAATTTTGTGCATACAGGAGATGTTAATTAATGCTCAGAGAGTGACCAAAAGCAGTCAGCTTTTATATCTTTTTACCCAAAGGAACAAAAATTTGTGGGCATTTGAGAGGACAAAAACAAACACACACACACACACACACACACACATACACACCCAAAAGCTAAATACAAAAAAAACCCAACAAACCCACTTAGGTTTAGGTGCTCATTTGTGAGGAATCTAAGCAAAGGTTGGGCTTGAGTAGTAAATTACTAAAAAACAAAAGAAAGAAAGTAGCAAGATATGTTTATACTAGATGCCCATTGCAGGAAGACTCCTGCAAGAATAGAGCTTCGCTCCAGTCTCTGCTGCTCCTACCCCGCCCGTCTCTGCCGCTTCTCTCCTGCCCATCTCTGCTACCTCGGCTCCGTTGCTTGGCTTCCTTCTATGGTGTCTTCAGTCTTTGCTCCCAGCTGGTATATGCAAATTAGCCGCCATCTTTGTTGGTGGTTAATTTGCATATAGTTCTGATTAGCCAATGGTGGGCATAGTAAAGGTACAGTCAATTTGCATCTTTGTCTATTATTAGATAGGATAGGCTTCTCAGCCTTCACTTCTCTGACTCTGGTGATACAAATGCTTCTCTCAGTCTCCAGGTGAAGGGAAAACACCTTTTATAGGGGAGATGTATTTCTTGCTTCCAGGAGACAAAGGATGGTTAAAATGTCCTTTTATTTGCTGATTTTCAATTAACTTTGATTCTAAATAATCATTATGCCAATGTGTTTGCCTTATGCCTCAACATTCCTAAATTCTGATGTGACCTGATATAATATCAGTCATAATTCCAATTATCTCTCATAATGGGTATATTACAGAAATAACAAAATTTTTTGTCAATTTATTTTTGAAAAATATATACTTTTTTTGATTTTAGAGAGGAAGGGAGAAGAATAGAGAGATAGAAGCATCAGTGAGAGAGAAACATCAATAGGCTGCCTCCTGCATGCCATTTCCTGGGGATGGAGCCTGAAACATAGGCATGTGCCCTGGTTGGGAATCTATCCGTGACCTCCTGGTTCATGTGCTAACACTCAACCACTGAGCCACATAAACCGGTCTACTCTGTCAATTTATTTGTGATGAACACTCATCTACCTTTAAAAATGGGCATTTTTAAGTTTTGTCATTTATAGACAGTTACTATTTTACTTTGATGTTTCATCTTCAGAGAAATTCATGGAAAGGACTGACAAATACGTTAGAATACAAGTCTCTGATAACTTTCAGGTCATACCACTGAACTGCATTTAAGGAAACTTTTTCTTTTTAGCTATCTGCGACTTCAGAGCAGTTTGGTAAAGTATATCTTTGTGAACAAAAGTGAAACAGTAACTTTTCACTCTACCTTATCCCTCTGGATTTCAGAAACTCAATTAGTATTCTTATTTCATAGCAATGCTGTTATTTGAATGAGTTCAGTAAGCATCTGCTCTCCTTGTAGACAGGCTACTGCTTTTTCTTTAGCTGATATTCTGTTACAGAAAAGTATCCCTGTTATAGGGGAACCCCTCTTGAACTTCATAATGACTGGGGAACTCATTTCACCAGTGAGGTGATTCAACAGGTCTATAATGTGTGGCTGGCTCTACAACAATTCACTGTGCCTACTCCCTTCAGACCCTTACTTCAGTCAATTTCATTATCATAACTCCATTATCTGTCTCCCATTAGGATTTATTTTCACTTGTACTTGGCAGAAAAATCTATGGTGGAGTTGGTTAAATTCTTACCTACTGGGAAGTTACTGCACAGTTGGATTACTGGTTACATTTTTATTTCATTATGTAGTCAATCAGAGACTCAGGATTGGTCATCACCCTTAAGTTTACATCACAGCACAAAATGAGAATTGCCAGGTGATGTCTCTGATAATGAAGAAATAAGATTCTTGAGAATTTTATTTCCATGGTGGTGGGGTATTGGCATAATTGAATAAACGGACAGAAATTTGCCTAAAACATTAGGACTTTAGGGGATATTGCTGAATGTATCGCCAAAGCCATGGCTGCTCTAGAAATATCTTTAAATTTACTTTCTCAAGCTGTTTCACATAACTGTATTGCTTTTGACTATATTCTAGCAAAATAAGGTGGTGATGTCTGTGGCACCACCTGTATGCTTGAATAAATTCTTCAGGATAGATTGAAACACAATCGCACAAAATCAGAGAATAAGTCCATTGGTTATAGGTGCCTCTAGAAAGCTTTTGTGTTTTTGACCTGTTTAAAAAGGACAGCCTCGTGGTTTAGAATTATTCTACTATTTGGAATTTGTGTCCTGTTTTTAATTTTAAGAATAATTGCTATAATTAAACTTACTAGAGGCCCGATGCACAAAGATTCGTGCAAGAATGGGCTTTCCTTTCCCTGGCTGCTGGCACCGCCTTCGCTCAGGCTGGAGCCGCCTTTATTCCTTTGTTCCAGCCTGGAGCCACCTTTCTGCCTTCCCATACTTCCCAGAGGCCCGGAGCAGCATTTCTGCCTTCGTTCCCCTGCCTTCCCATGCTGCCCAGAGGCCTGCAGCAGCTGGGCTGGTGTGGAACACCCTCAGCTGCTTGGCTCCTGCATATGCAAATTAACCTGCCATCTTTGTTGGGTTAATTTGCATAATCACTCCTGACTGGCTGGTGGGTGTTGTGAAGGTATGGTCAATTTGCATCTTTCTCTTGTATTAGTGTAGATATCTACTATCTTTCACAATACTATAAGAACTTCACAAAAATAATGGTAGCACAACATTTTGAAGTGATTTTTAATCCACATAAAATCTTAGATGGACAATTAAAAGACAAGATTGAAAATGATTCAACTACCTATGCTGAATTCTGCTAACTTTTATTTCATAGAACTGGATGGCAAGCCTTCCTCAGTTTGGCACTGCTATTGCTCCAATGTGGTCTAAAGGCTCCAAAGAAAACCAGTTTCTCTCCTACATGAATATGACGTACCAGATATGAACATTCCTGGTGACAGGAGATCACAATGTGAACACATGAGGAAATTGAGAAAAGCCACTCCAATGGTTAATCTGTGATCCTTTTGAAAAAATACCTTGATCAGAAGGGGGAAATGTGAAAGTTGACATAAGTGAAGCCATTTTAAAATGGAGCCGGAGCGGCCATTACAGAGGAACTGTCTAGTATGTCCTGCTTTCTGAACCTTTGAATGGGGCCAAACCACCCACATTCCATGTCGGCAAGAGTGAGAATTTTCTGTTGACAGGACCGACAAAAGTGAAATTTTACCTAGTGACCATTTCACTTGACCAATCAATGAGGTACAGTGGGGCCTTGACTTAACGAGTTTAATTCATGCCGTGATGGAGCTCGTAACTCAAATTACTTGTATGTCAAATCATAAAGTGAACGAGTGAGACATGTGATGCTGGGCTGATGTTGTGGCATTCACTGTGACCTTCGCTGCGCCAACTAGCGGTGGGGTATCTGAAGCTGGCTCGTAACCCGAATTTTAGCTCGCAACTCAAAGCAAAAAATCGGCTGAGAGATGGCTTGTAACTAGAAAAACTCGTTAGTCCGGACACTCATAAGTCAAGGCCCCACTGTACAAATCTAGCTTTGTTAGTGCCAATGAACTCCTTTAAAACCAACTCACTTCATCTTTCTTTCTTTCTTTCTTTCTTTCTTTCTTTCTTTCTTTCTTTCTTTCTTTCTTTCTTTCTTTCTTTCTTTTCATACAAAA